AAAAAGAAAAAGAGCGGGAGGGGGAGGAAGAGTTGGAGGACGAGGAGGAGGAGGAGGAGGAGGAGGAGATGAGGAGGAGGAGGAGGTGGAGGAGGAGGAGGAGGAGGAGGAGGAATCATAAGACTAAGAAAATCATGAGTACAACTATCAAGCATAATCACAATAATAATATTACGACTAATAAGAATACTAATACGACTAACAATGATAATACTAATAATGATACAGGAGAAAACCCCAATCATCGTCTTTTTAGGGCTGTAGGGCTATAGGGCTACAGGGCTATATGGGCTCTTGAGCGCTATATGGGATATTGGGCTATATGGCTATATGGGCGATAAGGCTATAGGGCTATAGGGCTATAGTGCTACAGGGCCCCCCCTGGGCGCCCGTGCACCCCGGGGCACGCCCGGGCACCCCGGCACCCGGGCACCCCCGGGCACCCGAGCACCCGGGCGTGCGGCGAAAATCGGCAGCAAACCTAACCTAACAATATGAATCCGCTAGGACCCCTACAGAGGCAAGCTCTGATTGGGGAATAGTAAGAATAACCTTGTGCCGATGATAAAAAAGGACCCCCCTTTCCACGCTAGAGTTGAGTATCCACGGCCAAGAAGAGTTTGGTCAGGGGCGCGGGGCGCGGAGGCCGAACTTTTTTTATCACTGTGAAAAGTTCACCATCGAGTTTAACATCATTATTATGTTGAAATAGCAACATCAAGCGAAGCAAAGACGTTATCGATGATGTCTCAAGCGAGACCAACAGCGTTCTCTTTATCTCTCTCTCTCTCTCTTCTGTCTGCTCTTCTCTTTCTCTTTCCGTTTCCTCCCCCTGCCCCTCCTGAATTTTGTTTTACCGCTGTGGTTTACTATCCACGAAAACCGAGGCACGTGAGCTACCTACACGAGCAGATGAAACTCTTAATTTCCATTGTTTGCTACATGAATTTAACAGGTTTGGAACTTTGGCGTTTCTCCTCCTCCTCCTCCTCCTCCTCCTCCTCCACCTCTCTCCTTCTGTCTGTCTATCTTTCTCTACTTCTGGGATCTCGATTCTCGATCCTCGGACTTCGATTCTCGATCCTCGATCCTCGGCTTTCGGTCCTCTTAACATCATGTCTTTCTCCTCCCACATGCTGGCCTCCGGTAGGCAACATTTATAATCCCCCCGCGACCCCGAACTTTATTATCCCTGTGGGATTAATCTCGGCAGCACAGGGTTACTAAGAAGAATAAGAGGGAGAAGGAGGAGCAGGAGGAGGAGGAGGAGGAGGAGGAGGAAGAGGAGGAGCAGGAGGAGGAGGAGCAGGAGGAGGAGGAGGAGGAGGAGGAGGGGAGAGGAGGAGGAGGAGAGCAGGAGGAGGAGGAGGAGGAGGAGGAGGAGGGGGAGGAGGGACGAGAAGGGACGAGAAGGGAAGAGCACGGAGGCGGGAGGTCGGCCGCCTGGCGCCCGGCGAGGAGTTCGGCGCCCGGCGGCGACGCCGTGCAGGGTCTGACGATGCCCGCCTTCGCGCCCCCGTCGGTGGCGCGCGGGGGGGCTCTGCCGCAGCCCTGCTGCCTTCGGGTGGCGGGGGGGGACTGCGGAGGAGGCGGGGGTGGAGGGAGGCCGAGGAGGGCCGCGGGTCGAGAAGCAACAGGGGGGGGGGGGAGGAGGGGAGGTGGGACCGAGGATGGGGAGGGACTGACCAGGAGGAGGAGTGGGAGGACCGAGGAGGAGGAGGAGAAGGAGGAGGAGGAGGAGGAGAAGCAGGAGGCGGACCAGTATACACCCGAGATTCATCAACGATGTTGGAATACACCCTCCCTCCAAGCTCCCTCGTCATAGACCCCTACAACGGTTCATTTCCACAGAGGGAAGCGCACCGCTCGGGGACAACAGTGTGAACAGCCTGAAACGTGCCAAAACACCATTCCCAGGACTTCAACGCCACTAGTCAACTGGCATGTTACGTCTTCACGTTCGTTAGCCGTGCCAGAACGCCATGCCTGGGGACTTAACACCGCGAATCAAGGATCTCACCCCTGGAATTAACGGTACCCCTTTTCGTATTGCGATTTACATATAATTTTGCCCCTTATCGTGCATCCGAAGTATGAGTTTCTACCATCCCTGGCAGGCCGGTATCGCCTCCCCCTTCATCCGTTGCAGAAGATACCATGCGCGCACGCTCTTTTATCAAAAACCACACGCGCGCGTCGTTGCTCGCGCATGCTGAAATCCTTCAAACGACTTTCTGGTTTCGCACGGATTTCAAGATCGAGTGTATCGAGTGTCCCGAACACGTATACATAACACACACATGGTTTCGCAGCACGGATTTTCAAGACATACTTGCGCCTCGGTCTTCTGCGAATCCTAAAGGAAACCATGCTTATTCCCCAACCATCCTGTGGTGTTGGGTCTTCGTTTTGAAGAGACGGCGCCCCACGTTCTCCTCCGTCCTCCCTGCCTCCCCCTCTTCTCCCTTTTCCCTCCTCCCTGTGTTTCACCCACCCAGTACAGCGTTTCGTGGCCCAATAGGAAGCTCCACCGAAGGCCCCAGTGCTACCGCCCGCATGCGTCACGCACGCCCACCCACTTCGGCACACCTCTCACACGTTTCGTGGCCCCATAGGCAGCTCCACAGCAGGCTCAGCACACCCCTCACACGTTCCGTGGCCCCATAGGGAGCTCCACTGAAGGCCCCAGGTGCCACCGCCCGCATGCGCCACGCACACCCAATTCGGCTCTCCTCACAAGTTTCGTGGCCCCTATCGGGAGCTCCACCAAAGGCCCCAGTGCCACCGCCTGCATGCGTCACGCACACAAAATTCGGCACACCCTTCACATGTTTCGTGGCCCCACAGGTAGCTCCACCGAAGGCCACAGTGCTACAGCCCGCATGCGTCACGCACACCCATGCCAGCACACCGCTCACACGTTTCGCGGCCCCTATCGGGAGCTCCACCGAAGGCCCCAGTGCTACCGCCCGCATGCGTCACGCACACCCTAGCTGGCACACCCTTCACACGCTTCGTGGCTCCATAGGGAGCTCCGCTGAAGGCCCCTGGTGCCACCGCCTGCATGCGTCACGCAAACCCCATTCGGCTTTCCTCATACGTTTCGTGGCCCCATAGGGAGCTCAACCGACGGCCCTTGTGCCACTGCCCGCCTGCGTCACGCATGCTCATTTTGGCACACCCCTCACACGTTCCGTGGCCCCACAAGAAGCTCCACCGAGAAGGCCAGCGGCTGCATTCGCATGCGCCCACCGCGCCCATTTAGGCACATCCATCGCACGCTTCGCGGCACCATGGCGGGCTCCACCTACGGCCCCAGTTGCTGTGTTTGCACGCGCCCTCCGCAACTATTTCGGCGCACATCTCACGCGCTTCGTGGCCCCATATGGAGCTCTACCGAAGGCCCCAGTGGCTGCTTTCGCATGCGCCCACCAGGCAAATTTCGGCACACCCTCACACGTTTCGTGGCTCCACAGGGAGCTCCTCCGAATGCGGTGCATACAACGACGGTGCTCACAACTGCATCTTGTTGGGTCCTCCGCCAGGTTTATTTTCAACGTGCCGCATGTCGGCATCGCTCGAACACCCTTTCGCGCGTGCTGTCGCAAAAACCTCTTGCACAAAGATGGGACGAAGTGCAGACGCGCGCGTCGTCGCGCGCGCATACGGGAACCTTTCAAACACCTTACGCTTCGTATGGATTTCAAGATCAAATGCCCCGGACGCATATAAACAGCACATGGTTTTCCAACCTCAGTTTTCAAAAATGCCTTCGCTCGCTTTCCTGCGAATCCTCATGACGACCATTCGTTTTTGTAACACATTTTCATTCGCTCTGGCCAATCGGGCCCCTCGCGCCGCACGTCGAAATCATTCGAGCGCCCTTTCGCGCGTGCTTGGGGGTTACGGTCCGTGTCAAATGACGCCATGCTGGCCGCGCTCGCGCGTCGGCCGCGCGCGCATGTCGAACTCCTTCCAAAACCTTCATTGCCGACGCGAGGGTGCCGTTATCGCCGTCGGCGTAATCAGCATCGGCGCCGCCACTGGCCTCGTCGTCGTCGTTGTCATCATCGCCACCAGCATCGCTACAATAATCACAGTGTCTACCATTGTCGACGTTGCCATGGTACCATGTCTGCCCAAGTCGCCGACTCACGCTGAGGTGCCCGCTGGGAAGTGCCCAGCGGTCAGCGCCACTGCGGCCGCGTCAGTCGCGTCAAACTAGCTGGCTGCGCGCGCGAACATGCGCGGGCTAGCGCGGCCGCAGGGATGCACCAGCCAACACCAAGCATTCGTTTATCGAAATCATTTGTTTTCAAGAATCCCTTGCAGAAGCTGGAACGCAGTGCGCGCGCGCGTCGACGCGCGCGCGTGCCAACATCCGTCAATTACTGTTTTCTGATTCCCCAACGATTTCAATATCAATTGCCTCGAAAACGTATAAACGCACATGGCTTGGCAACACGACTTTTCTGACATTCTTGATGCGCCCGCGATCTTGCGAATTCTGCAGACAACAGGTTGGGTGTTCCAACGTGTTCACGAACATAATTATTAAACCGGCCTCTCGCGCGCGCATGTCGAAATTGTTCGATCGCCCCTGCGCGCGTGCTGTCGCAAGGGTCCCTTGCAACAAATGGGGCTAAATGCACGCGCGCGCGTCGTATCGCGCGCACGCCGAAATCATTGATTAGCCTGGCGAAGGACCCAACCATATGCAGTTGTGAGTACCGTCGTTGTACGCACAGCATTCGGAGGAGTTCTCTATAGGGCCACGAAACCTGTGAGGGGTGTGCCAAACATTGTCTGGTGGGCGCATGCGAAGGCAGCCGCTGGGGCCTCCAGTGGAGCTCCCTATGGGGCCACGAAGCGCGTGAGAGGTGTGTGCCGAAATAGTTGCGGTGGGCACGTGCGAACACAGCCACTGGGGCCGTAGGTGGAGCCCGCCACAGTGCCGCGAAGCGTGCGATGAGTGCGCCGACATGAGTGCGGCGGGCGCATGCGAACGCAGCCACTGGCGCCTTCGGCGGAGCTTCCTGTGGGGCCACGAATCGTTTGAGGGATGTGCTGATTTTGGGCGTGCGTGACGCATGCGGGCTGTGGCACTGGGGCCTTCGGTGGAGCTCGCTATGGAGCCACGAAGCGTGTAATGCGGGGGGGTTAATTGGGTGTGCGTGACGCATGCGGGCGGTGGCACTGTGAGGCTCCCCATGGAGCCACGAAGTGTGCGAGGGGTGTGCCGCATTGGGTGTGCGTGGCGCGTGCGGGCGGTGGTGCTGGGGCCTTCGGTGGAGTTCAATGTGGGGCCACGAAGCGTGTGAGGGGTTTGCCGGAATGGGTGTGCGTGACGCATGCAGGCGGTGGGACTGGGGCCTTCGGTGGGGCTCCCTATGGGGCCACGAAGCGTGTGAGGGGTGTGTCGCATTGGGTGTGCGTGACGCATGCGGGCGGTGGCACTGGGGCCTTTGGTGGAGCTCCCGATAGGGGCCACGAAACGTGCGAGGGGTGTGCCGAATTGAGTGTGCGTGACGCATGCGGGCGGTGGGACTGGGGCCTTCGGTGGGGCTCCCTAGGGGCCACGTGTGAAGGGCGTGCCGAAATGGGCGTGCGTGACGCATGCGGGCGGTGGCACTGGGGCCTTCGGTGGGGCTCCCTATCGGGCCACGAAACGTGTGAGGGGCGTGCCGACATGGGTGTGCGTGACGCATGCGGGCGGTGGCATTGGGGCCTTCGGTGGAGCTCCCTAAGCGGCCACGAAACGTGTGAGGGGCGTGCCGACATGGGTGTGCCTCACGCATGCGGGCGGTGGCACTGGGGCCTTCGGCGGGCTCATTAAGGGGCCACGAAACGTGGGAGGGGCGTGTGAGAGAGTGTGTGTAAAGTGTGAGAGAAAGAGTGTGGTGTGGTGAGATTATGGGGCCACGAAGCGTTTGAGAAGTGTGGTGTGTGTGCCGAAATGGGCGTGCGTGACGCATGCGGGCGGTGGCACTGGGGCCTTCGGTGGGGCTCCCTATCGGGCCACGAAACGTGTGAGGGGCGTGCCGACATGGGTGTGCGTGACGCATGCGGGCGGTGGCATTGGGGCCTTCGGTGGAGCTCCCTAAGCGGCCACGAAACGTGTGAGGGGCGTGCCGACATGGGTGTGCCTCACGCATGCGGGCGGTGGCACTGGGGCCTTCGGCGGGCTCATTAAGGGGCCACGAAACGTGGGAGGGGCGTGTGAGAGAGTGTGTGTGAGAGAAAGTGTGAGAGAGTGTGTGAGAGAGTGTGTGAGAGAGTGTGTGTGTGAGATTATGGGGCCACGAAGCGTGTGAGAGAGTGTGGGTGTGTGTGTGTGTGTGTGTGTGTGTGTGTGCCGATTTTGGGCGTGCGTGACGCATGCGGGCGGTGGCACTGGGGCCTTCGGTGGGGCTCCCTATCGGGCCACGAAACGTGTGAGTGGTGTGCCGAAATGGGTGTGCGTGACGCATGCGGGCGGTGGCACTGGGGCCTTCGGTGGAGCTCCCAAAGGGGCCACGAAACGTGTGAGGGGTGTGCCGCATTGGGTGTGCGTGACGCATGCGGGCGGTGGCGCTGAGGCTTCCTGTGGAGCTCCGTATGGGGCCACGAAACGTGTGAGGGGCGTGCCGCATTGGGTGTGCGTGACGCATGCGGGCGGTGGCGCTGGGGCTTTTTGTGGAGCTCCGTATGGGGCCACGAAGCGTGTGAGAGAGTGTGTGTGTGTGTGTGTGTGCCGATTTTGGGCGTGGGTGACGCATGCGGGCGGTGGCACTGGGGCCTTCGGTGGGGCTCCCTATCGGGCCACGAAACGTGTGAGTGGTGTGCCGAAATGGGTGTGCGTGACGCATGCGGGCGGTGGCACTGGGGCCTTCGGTGGAGCTCCCAAAGGGGCCACGAAGCGTGTGAGGGGTGTGCCGCATTGGGTGTGCGTGACGCATGCGGGCGGTGGCGCTGAGGCTTCCTGTGGAGCTCCGTATGGGGCCACGAAACGTGTGAGGGGCGTGCCGCATTGGGTGTGCGTGACGCATGCGGGCGGTGGCACTGTGCCCTCCAGTGGAGGGAGCTCTCTTTGGAGCCACGAAGCGTTGTAATGGGTGGGTGAAACTCAGGGAGGGCGGAGGAGGGGAGCAGGGGAAGGAAGAGGAGGAGGGAGGAAGAAGGCGGGAGGAGGAAGAACGTGGGGACCGTTTCTTCAAAACGAGGACCCAACACAACAGGATGGTTGGGAAAAACGGCACGTTTCGCCGGGATTTCAAAATGCAGCACCGAACCTTCTTCATAGTTAAATGCCTTAGGTGTCGCGGCCGCAGAGACGCACCAGCCAACACCAAGCATCCATCGCAATCGCCGCCGCATGGGTTTATGCAGCCCGAGTTGCGGGTGGGTGCGTGGCATGACTGCGCGAACGATGGAGTTGGCAATTCATTTCGAGCAGAAGTTGAATCCACCACGTCCGAAGGTTTCCAGAAACACACTATTTGGGGTCCACGCTGGCCAGCATGCTTCTGGGTACTTGGGGGGCTGGCTCCCCGTGTTTTTTGGCCACGTTCCCGCCCGCCCGTGGCCGGTCGTGGGCGCCCCGTGGGCGCGCCGTGCGCTGGGTGGGTTCCCGCCCTTTGGCCCGCGCCTCGTGGCTTGCACCGCATACAGTCTCTCTGTTCAAGTATATGTCTGTCCGTCTGTCTGTCTGTCTGTCCGTCTGTCTGTCTGTCTGTCCGTATGTATGTATGCATGTATGTACGTATGTATGTATGTATGTATGTAAGTATGTATGTATGTATGTATGTATGTATGTATATATATATATATATATATACACGTGTATGTATGTATGTGCCTCACCCCGTCTCCGGAGTTCACGGTCCGCTAGTTTGTATTGCAACTTACACACGGTTATGCCTCATTGGCCATCCTACATGTAAGCTTGTACCTTCTGGGAGAGTCCCGTATCGTCCCCCCTTTCATCCTCTTCACAAAATGCTATGCGTGCGCACTCGTGTATAACAAACCATCGGACTTTTAAACATATCCTTTCAAGCATTGGGGCGAAATGCGCACGCGCGCGTCGTCGCGCGCGCATGCCGAAATCTTTCCCGAACCTTAGGTTTCGCAGGGAATTCAGAATCGAGCGTCTGGAAGCTATGCACAACCACGTGTTTTTGCAACATCAGTTTACAAAAAAGGGCTGCGCGCGCGCGCGCTCTTACGAATCCCAAAGAAAGGTTCCTCGATCTGTTTGTCAAGCTCGGTTTAACGGGTCTATCGCACCGCATGTCGAAATCATTCGGGCGCTTTTACGCGCGTGCTGGGCGGGGCGCGATCGGTGCCACATAATACCATGCGGGCCACTCGCGCGCGTCGGCCACGCGCGCATGTCGAACTCTTTCCAAGACCTTCATGGCCTACGCGATGACACCATCAACGTCATCGGCGTGATCAGCATCGGCGCCGTCCTTGGCCTGGGCGTCGTCGTTGTCATCATCGCCATCATCATCACTACTACCATCACCGTGTCTACCGTTATCGACCAATGATACCGCGCCCGCCCAAATCACCCACTCGCACTGAAGTGCCCGCTGGGAAGTGCCCAGTGGTCAGCGCCACCGCGGCCGCGTCGGTCGCTTCAGAATAGCTGGCCGTTGTGCGGGCGAGCATGCGCGGGCTAGCGCGGCCGCAGAGATGCAGCAGCCAGCACCCACCAAATTCAGGGTGGGTGGGTGTGATGATTGCGTGAACCGTGGAGTCGACAGTTCCAGTTTTTCAAATTCGTTTGCGCACCACTGCTTCCACCGTAGCATGCAAGGCATAGCTCACACCACATAGCTCTCACCGCACAGCTTTTCACCTCCACAATGCCCAAGCGTGCTGCTCGGGGTCCACGCTCGCTACAATTTTGAAAGTATCAGGATGACGTGTTCTTCGCCAGTCGTTCCCGTGCTTCGGGGCCGTCGGGCAGAATCCAGGCGAGAAGCCGCCCCAGGGGACGGGTCTGGGACTTCTGGGGACCCCGAATTGGCTAGGTCACGGTATTGGAGGTTTGGGCCCCTCGAGGGAGGAGAGGGTGACGAGGCGGAGAACCGAAGCTGTTTTCGTGTTCTCTTCGGGCCTCCGGGGGCCAATGGAGGCCCGAAGGGCTTCTGGGGGCCTCTGGCGGCTTCGGACTTTCCGACGCCTCTAGAGTTGGGGCGGGCGGGAGAGGGCTGGAGGTGCGACATGTGTTGCCTGCAGCCGGTTTCTGCCCCGCCGCCGGGCCCCTTTCCTCGATACGTGGCCGCGTGGGGCGCTCGGAGGCGCCAGGACAGCCGGCTGCGCCCCGACGACCACGACGATGAGCGCGACGACGACGACCACGACGACGACGATGACGACGACGACGACGGCGACGACGACGGCGACGACGACGCCAACGACGACGACGACGGCGGCGGCGGCGGCAGCGGCGGGGGCGGTGGCGGCGGCGGGGGCGGTGGCGGCGGCGGCGGCGGCTGGCGGTGGCGGCGGCGGCGGCGGTGGTGGCGACGGTCCCTGGAGGTGACCGCCGAGTCGGACGCCATGATGTCCGTCGGCAGCACCGCCATGGCCTCCGACGCGGCCAGAGCCATCACCACGAGGGCCTCGTACGGCGCCCAGGCATCCCAGGGGCCGCCATGTAGTCGCCGTCAGCGCCGTCGTTGTCGTTGGACGTTTCTGGATCTTCGTTGCCCTGTTTGAGGACTCCAGAGGCCTCTGGCGACTCATGGGCCTCTGGAGTCTGGAGGGCTCTGGCGATGCCATCGAGGCTTCTGGAGGCCCCGAAATTTCGTCGTCGCCGTCGCCGTCGTCGTCGTCGTCGTCGTCGTCGTCGTCGTCGTCGTCGTCGTCGTCGTCGTCGTGGTCGTCGTGGTCGTCGTCGTGGTCGTCGTCGTCGTCGTCGTCGTTGTCGTCGACGTCGTCGTTGCCGCCGCCGCCGCCATCTTCGAAGAGACGCCCGGGGAGGCCCGATGCTGAGAGGTCCTGGGGCCAGGGGGAGGCGGAGAGGGGGGGATGCGCGGAGGCCCCACCCGACCCTGGCAGGTCCGGTGTGGCCCGTGGCCGCCGCGAGCGTGCGCCGGTGCAGGCGGGCAGGTGCGCAGGGCAGCCCCGCCCTGCGCCCTGCGCCCTGCGCCCTGCGCCCTGCGCGCTGCGCCCTGCGCCCTGCGCCCTGCGCCCTGCCCTGCCCGCCGCCGCCCCGCCCGCCGCCGCCCCGCGCGCAGGCGCCGGCCGCCGCCGCGTCGGAGGCCGAGATGTCGGCGGGCACGTCCGGCGTCGGCTCGGACGCGGCCCGGTCCCTGGCCGCCCGGGCGGTGGGCGGCGCCGCGCCCCCGACGGTGGGCGCTGCGAGGGCGCCCCCGAAGAGCGACGGCGGCGGCGGCGGCGGCGGCGGAGACGGCGCTGGCGGCGGCGGCGGCGACGCGGCGACGACGCGGCCAGGGCACGCATGGCGCGAGAGCGACGGCGGCGGAGCCGAGGCCTCGGCGGCGGGCCGGGGGCGCCCCCCAGAAGCGGCGGCCGCGGCACGCGGCGCCGCGGGGCGTTCTCTGTCGCAGGGTGGCGGGTGTCTCTAGTCCTCCCGGGCAGGGTCCGATGAGGTGGGGTCGGAGGATGGCGCCCCATCGCCGATGCAGCTGCTCACCACCCACCAAACCACCCCAACCCAACCCGAAGGCTCAAATTTACCGTCGATTTCCAGTGGGGGGGAAGGGTCGGGGAACATCGAGAAAACATATGGAACCCGTACCCCCCCCAACCCGAAATTCGGGTCTTCGGGTTGGGTTGGGGTGGTCTGGTAGGTAGTCAGTTGCATCGCGGATGTGGCCTGATGTGGAGCCTCGATTTCTCCGCGCCGTCGTCGCCCGTGCACCGTCGACGTCGCCGATGCATCGCGGATGCACCGCCCATGCATCGGCGATACGGCGCGATCCTGCGACCCCATGTGCTCGGACCCTATCTGGGAGGCCTCCTTGTGGTTTTGCCAGGTCGGGCCTCCAGGGGTTATTTTTTGGGGCCCCGGGGCCCTCAGACAAGCGATGCGCGGTCGCGAGCTCCAGCCTGGAGAGCTCCAGCCATGCCTCTTCCCAGAGATCCGACGTTGCAACAAAAAAATTCCACACCGCCAACAAATCACGCCCAGAGCCCTGGACCGCATCCTTCTGCGCCACTTTTCGAGCCGCATCGAGCTGCGAGGGTCTGGGGGGCCCGAAGTCGGGCTACAACCCCCGTTGTGGAAAAAAGATTGCAGCGCCAGGATCTCTCCCAGGTGGATGGACCTCCTACCCTGACACGTCGATTAGTGAATTGGCCATTTTCGGTTCGCGAGAGGGCGTCGCGGCCGTCATTTTTGCGGGTCCAGGTCCGTCGGTTTCGGTCCCCGGCCGTTTTCACTAAGGGGAGGTTGGCTAGAGGGAGGCTTGCCCACCGCCGACAAGCCCCGTTGTGGAAAAAAGACTGCAGCGCCAGGCTCTCGGGGGTCCCGTGACGCCGGAGGCGCAGGGTGCCGGGTCTTCGAGGCCTCTCCCCCTGTGCTTCCCGCAGCGCAGCGGAGAGCTGCAGCCTGGAGGGCTCTCGGGCCGCGCCTCTTCCGTGACGTCGGAGACGCATGGCTCCAGGAGGAGGAGGAGGGGGAGGAGGGGGAGGAGGAGGAGGAGGAGGAGGAGGAGGAGGAGGAGGAGGAGGAAGAGGAGGAGGGAGGAGAGAGGAGGAGGAGGAGGAGGAGGCGAGGAGGAGGAGGTAAGAGAGGAGGAGGAGGAGTAGAGGAGGAGAGGAGGAAAAGGAGGAGGAGGAGGAGGAGGAGAGGAGGGACGGAGGAGGAGGAGAGAAGAGAGGGGAAGGAGGAGGAGGAGGAGGAGGAGGGGAGGAGGAGGATGATAGGAGGAAGGAGAGGGAGGAGGATGAGGGGGGGAGGAGGGAGAGGAGGAGGAGGAGAGGAGGAGGAGGAGGAGGAGGACAGGAGAGGAGGAGGATGAAGGAGGAGAGGAGGAGGAAGGAGGAGGAGGAGGAGGAGGAGGAGAGGAGAGGAGGAGGGAGGAGGGAGGAGAGGAGGAGAGGAGGGGAGGAAGGAGGAGAGGAGAGAGGGAGGAGAGGAGGAGGAGGGGAGGAGGAGGAGAGGAGGAGGAGAGGAGAGAGAGGAGAGGCGAGGAGAGGCGGAGAGGAGGAGGAGGAGGAGGAGGAGAGAAGGAGGAGGAGAGGAAGGAGGAGGAGGAGGAGGAGGAGGAGAGGAGGAGGAGGAGGATGGAGAGGAAGGGGAGGAGAGAGGAGAGGAGGGAGGAGGAGTAGAGAGGAGAGGAGAGAAGGGAAGGAAGAAAGGAGGAGGAGGAGGAGAGGAAGGAGGAGGAGGGAGGAGAGGAGGAGGAGGAGGAGGAGAGGAGGGAGGAAGGGAGGAGGAAGGAGGAGGAGGAGGAGGAGGAGGAGGAGGAGGGGAGGAGGAGGGGAGGAGAGAGGGGGCCAACGTGCGAGCCCTACCCCTGCCCGCCCACGATTTCTGCGGTTTCTGAGGGGGAGGGGCGGGGTTCACGTCGCTCGGGAGCTCCCGAGCGAAGTGAAAAGCTCCTCTCCCCCTCAGCCCCTCAGAAATCGTGGGGGGTAGGGGTGCGGTTCGCACGTGGCCCCCTGTACTGGTGCGCGTTCTGGCCAGGATTCCGAGGGGAAGCCGGCCGCTTGCCTCGGGTCGGGCAGGTCCTCCTACAGTCGACTGCGCGTAAGAGTGATCTTTCGCCGGAGTGACCTTTGGTGCGGGCCCAATGGGGTTCCCCGATCGCCGAGCGCGATACGACAGCAGCGGCCTGCGCGCCTGTGTTTGGTCCCCCCGCGGGGCTCAGAAGCCGCGCACCAATGGTCACTCGTACCCAGGGCCACTCTTGCGTGTGGCCGATATTGGTGCGCGTTCTGGCCAGGATTCCCGAGGGGAAGCCGGCCGTTTGCCTCAGGCCAGGCAGGTCCTCCTACAGGCGGATTTTGGAAGAAGAAGCAAAGAGGCAAACAATAACCAACCATAACAAAAGAGCACGACACATCGTCGCCAGCCCATTCTTTTAGAACTGTTCTTGAATCTTCCTCCTGTAGACCTTTATATTAAACTAATTCTTTACAGCGATTATTTAACAACTGTTATTTTAAAACTATTACCCACTATTCTTTTAAAACTATTATTTTATAATCGTTCTTGAATCTTCTTCCTGTAGAGGGACATTCCGGACCTAACGTTTGCCACGAAGGCGGCCTCCGAGGCCAAGAGAGGCCGACCCTCGAACCTCGATCGAAGACGACGACGATGGCGACGGCTGCGACGGCAGCGCTGAGGACCACGAAGACTCAGAGGAGGAAATTGTACCCACACCTCTACCCTTCTCCTGTTTTCGCATTTTTGGGCCTCCTGGGAGGCCCTCGTCACCACCGCTGGATTCCCCTCAACATTCTGGTCAGAACGCACCCCGGGAGAGGTCCAGGGAGGAGTAGCGGTATCGGTACCCTTTGCTTTCCCCAAAGACCGACGACGCCGACGACGACGGCGACAAAGGTCAACCCTCGAGCCTCGATCGACGACGACGATGACGACGACGGCGCCGGCCGCGACGGCGGCGACGACGACCACAACAAAGACTGACGACGCCGAGGACGCCGACGACGGCAACGGCGATGGCGGCGACAATGCCGACAATGCCAGCAATGACGACGACGGCTACGGTGTAGACGACAACATTGACGACGACGGCGACGACGGCGGCAGCGACGAGGGCGACGGCGGGGCTTTGACCAGGACCTCGAGGCGGATCCCGCCGTGTCGACGAGGGGGCCCTTCCGAGGCCACGACGCCGATCGATCGATCGACGAAGACGACGACGGCGATCCACGGACTATCCGCGATAGACGACCGACGACGGCGACCGACGACGGCGTTGACGACGGTCCGCGCTCGACGCTGACGATCGACAACGGCGTCGAGAGGAGAATGAGGAGGAGGAAGAGGAGGAGGAGTAGGAGGAGGAGGAAGAGGAGGAGGAAGAGGAGGAGGAGGAGGAGGAGGAGGAGGGGGGGGGGAGAGGGTGAGGAGGGGGAGGAGGAGGAGGAGGAGGAGGAGTGAGGAGGGAGGAAGTAGGAGGAGGAGGGATGAAGGAGGAGAGGAGGAGGAGGAGAGGAGGAGGGGAGGATAGGGGGAGGAGGAGGGGGAGGAGGGGGAGGAGGAGGAGGAGGAGGAGGAGGAGGAGAGGAGGAAGGAGGAGGAGGAAGAGGAGGGGAGGAGGAGGAGGAGGAGGATGAGGAGGAGGAGGAGGAGGAGGAGGAGGAGGAGGGGAGGTAGGAGGAGGAGGCGGGAGGAGGAGGAGGATGAGGAGGGGAGAGGAGGAGGGAGGGAGGAGGGGAGGAGGAGGAGGAGGAGGAGGAGGAGGAAGGATCCGGGAGGAGGAGAGAGGAGGGGAGGAGGCGGAGGATGGAGGAGGAGGAGTAGGACTGAGGAGGGGAGGAAGGAGGAGGAGGAGGAGGAGGAGGATGAGGAGGAGGAGAGGAGGAGGAGGACGAGGAGGAGGAGGAGGAGGAGGGAGGAAGGATGAGGAGGAGGAGGAGGAAAGGAGGAGGAGGAGGAGAGGAGTAGTGAGGAGGAGGGAGGAGGACGGGAGGAGGAGGAGGGATGGAGGAGGAGGAGGAAGAGGATATGAGGAGGAGGAGGAGGAAGGGGAGGAGGAGGAGGAGGGGAGGAAGGAGGAGGAGGAGGGGAGGATGAGGAGGAGAGAGGAGGATGAGGATGAGGAGGGAAGGATGAGGAGATGAGGAGGAGGAGGAGGTAGGAGGAGGGGAGGGAGGACGGAGAGAGGAGGAGGAGGAGGAGGAGGAAAAGAAGAAGAAGAAGAAGAGGAGGAGGGAGGAGGAGGAGGAGGAGGAGGCGGAGGGAGGAGGAGGGAGGAGGAGGAGGAGGAGGACGATCTGCGATCGACGGCGTCCCGCGACGGCCGACGACCCACCGACCGACGACCGAAGCCGGCGGCCGACGGGCGGCCAGCGCGGCCAGCAGGCGGCCTCCGCCCGGGTCAGCGAGGAGGCGGCGGTCGGCGCCTCGGCGGCTGGCGGCACCTCGTTGGCAGAGGCCCCGGCGGGAGAGCCGCCGGCAGCCGCCGTTGCCGCCGCCGTTGCCGCCGCCGTCGGCCGTCGGTGGTCGGGGATCGCGGTCGGTGGCCGTTGGTCGTCCGTTGTCGGCGGTCGTCGTCGTCGCCGGCCGTCGTGGGTCGCGGATCGTGGTCGATGGCCGTCGGTCGTCGGTCGTCGGTTGTCGGTCGTCGTCGTCGTCGGTCGTCGGTCGTCGGTCGTCGGTCGTCGGGCGTCGTCGGGCGTCGTCGGCGTCGTCGTCGTCGTCGTCGTCGTCGTCGTAGGTCGTCGACCGTCTATCGCGGATCGTGGTCGATGGCCGTCGTTGTCGGTCGATGTCAGTCGCGGATCGTGGTTGATGACCGTCGTCGCTGGTCGTCATCGGTCGTTGTCTTCATCGGTCGTCGTTTGTCGCGGATCGTGGTTGATGGCCGCCGTGGTGGGTTGTCGTCGGGCGTCGACGGTCTATCACGGATCGTAGTCGCTTGCCATCGTCGTCGGCCAGCGTCGGGCGTCGTTTTCGGTCGTCGTCGATCGTCGTCGATCGTCGTCGTCGTCGTCGTCGTCGTCGTCGTCGTCGCAGGTAGTCGATCGTCGATCGTTGTCGTCGCCAGCGTCGCCGTTGTGTCGTCGTAGTCGTCGCTGTTGGATCCGTCTCTGGAGGTCTCCAGACCTTTGCCTGGGAACCTCTGGAGGTCCCCAGAGGATTTCTTCGAGGTCTCCAGCGGATCTCTTCGTCTGCCCACACTGAGCCAAGAATGTCTGATAAGGGGAGGAGGAGCAGCAGGAGGAGGAGGAGGAGGAGAATCAGGGGCAGGAAGAGGGAGGGGGATGAGGAGGAAACGGATGATGACGACGAGAACGACGACGAAAACTGCGAGGACGAAAATGACGACAACGATGACAAAGACGACGACGACAGCGAAAATGACGGCAACGCCGACGACGGCGTCGGCGGCGACGGGCGACGGCGACGACGACGGGCGGCGACGACGGCGACGACGACGACGTCCGAAGATCTCCAGAGGTCTCAGGGGGTCTCCAGAGTTCCCCAGACCTCTTCCAGGAACCCTGGGAGATCCCCGGAGGCCTCACGAGGCTCCTAAGACCTGAAGAGGCTCGAACAACGTCCAACAGCGTTTATTCTGGAACACCGATCATCGAGGTTCGAGCCTGGTTGACAAAGACGACGAACATGATGGCAACAAAGACGATGACGACGACGGCAATGACATGACGATTGCAATGACGACCGTGATACTTGACGACGAAAACTAACACGAACATGACGGCGACGACGACGCTGAAAACGATGGCTTCGGCGGCGGCGGCTGCGACGACGACGACGACGTGGACCCTGGGGCCTAACATCGGGAGGGGAAAACACACACGGACACGAGTAATCGTCGCTTCGCAGGAAAAACAAAGGGGAAGTATGGGAGATGGGGAGGGAGGAAGACGAACACCTAGACCGTATGGGAACCTATGGGGATCCTCGGATTTGTGTCTATTTATCTGTGTGCCACTGGGCCGTCAGGGGAAATGTGGGAAGTTGGGGATGGGGAAGGCGAAAACCTGGAACATCTGGGAAACTCTGGGGAATCCTGGGATTTAGGTCTACTTACCTCTGTGCCACTGGGACGGCGAACGCTCAGAAGACATGTGGGACACCGTGGGGAATCCCGTGTCGTGCTGTGTGCCGCCGGGCCGCTCCATGAACGAGGGCCGCAGGACACGCCCAGCAGCGCCGCGGTGCCCGAGCCCCTGCCACCGAGATCGCCGACGGTGGCGGGCCGACGGCGGTGTGCCGACGGCTCGCCGCCGTCGACGGCGAGAGGCGATGGCGGCCACGACGCCGTCGCCGCCCGCTGGCCGCCCTCGGCGTCGTCCCCAGACATTTGCAGATAGTTTTTTTTTGTCGTTTCCATTAATATGTTTTTTCACATATATATATATATATATATATATATATATATATGTCCGTAGCCATTTTGGCTCAAGCCAGGCTTGCCAAAGTGCGCTGCGCAATTCAATTTGTGCGGCAAAGCGAATGCTGACTCCCTCATGGCGTGCCCTGCGGCTCCGCTGGCGGCTGCTGCGCTCGCGGCGAGGTGCCTGCTAGTCTACATCCAGCTCGTGATGCATTTCCTCCTCATCATGTTCTCGGGGCGGGAGTTCGCGTCCACTGCTAACGCCATCCTCTCGCTCCGCAGGGGGCCCGCTGCATGGTTCGTGGATGCCCTGCTCTTCGTGAACGCCCTGGCCAACAGGGCCAAGCCTGCTGGCATTCGCCTTCTGCGAGCGAAGAAGGCCAGAGCGCGGGAGGAGGCTTCCTCGCGGTCGCACGCCCCCGCGCTCGGATGCCGACGCCGACGACTTCATATTCTACGACGCTGTTGAACCCGTTCCAATTCGCCTTCAGGACCTCGTCCCACATGTAGATCGGCCTACACCACCGGAAGCTGTTCGATCGTCTGGGGGGGCGCCGGTAATTATTCGATTGGCTGAGTTAATTGATTGCGGAGTCGCTCGTCCTGGCTTGGACAAAGCCGCTCCCGAATTCCTTCCGCGCGCCGCCTATGCTGTTTCGGAGGGCCATGCTACAAATTCCGGCACGGACTGCACGCATCAATTGAATATGCTGGTTGACGCCCAGAATGCCACGATTGCTATCTTGATGCGCGAATTGGATGCGCTCCGTACGGGCGCTGCCCCCGACCTGGACCTCGCCTCCCAAGTCCAATCCATCAGGGAGGATGTGGTGACCCTTTGCCGATCGCTAGGGCGTGCTGTGGAGGCGTCCCTGGACAAGCGCCTGCCCTCCAAGGTGCGGGCTATCGTCGCAGAAGCCGACCGTAGCACCAACGAGCAGATCACGACTGGCCTGAAGCACTCCTTGGATTCCTCTCTCACAGCCTTGTCGGCAGCGCTGCGGTCCTCCCTGGCTGCCGAGGGCAAGAAAATCCGCGACGAGATGGAGGCGAGGTTCGAATCCGTGCATTACAACATCTTCAGCGAGAAGAGCACGATGCAGACGACGGTCATGGACGACTCTGACTCCATCAAACCAAGCGCGCCCTCTCCTACCTCGTCGCGGAACGTCCCGCAGGGCGATCCCGACCGCATCGAAGCGACGGACCCCAACCCGCTCACAGATGCCAATGACTCCTTCACACCAAGACCGCCCTTTCCTACTTTGTCAAGGCACGTCTTGCAGGTCAAGGGCGACAACGCTGAGGCGACGGACCACCACCCGATCACAGTTGCCAATGACTCCCTCATAACAAGTTCTCGTTTCTCTCCTACCTTGAAGCCCAGGGTTCTGGGGCCCAAGGACGTCGATGGCAGGCCGATCTCCTTGCACGACCTTGTGACGACCGTCGGCCTGCGGCAGGTGTCCTACAATGACAAAGTGGGGATGGTGGTCAACTTCGAGAATGGTCGGGTCGGCGTCTCTCTCGCAGGGGGTCCTGGCAGGAGCTTCAAAGCTGTGAACCTCAGGGTGATGCAGCGCGAGAGCCCCCTCGATGGCGAAATGCCTGACTCGCCTGTTCAAGAATGGAAGCGAGCTTCTGGCGGAACATGCATGGGATCTTCTTCTTTGCTGTCTTCGACGGCTTCAACTTCTACTTCTGAGCTGGCTTCCGCCGCCTGCTAAGAAGAAACAGACCTATTGGCTACGAGTGATATATATATATATATATATATATATATATATGTGTGTGTGGGCGTTCGGGTATTCCCGCACCCCTGTGTTTTTCAGAGGGAGCCGATTGTCAAGGGTCGTCATCCTCAATACAGAAAAACAAAGGAAGATGTACACTTTTTCGGTTGGTTGTTTTCTTGTGTACAGAGGATGTTCTATATCTATGTACACAGTACGCTGTTGTCATGTTTTCTTTTGTCCTCCGACTTGCGGCCCCAGAGGTCCCCCGCCCCTTCCCGTGGCCGGGCCTCTCGCCGCAGGACCTCCCTCGCTGGAGGTGCCCACGCCCGGCGGCGGTCTCTTCCCCCCCCCCCTGGGCGCCGCCGTTTCGCCTCCAGGACCAACAACAAACATCAGGAGGGAACAAAAACACACTGACACAATTCATCGTCGATTTCGCGAAAATATGGAAAATTGTGGGGCGTGGGGGGGAGGGCAAAAACTTTGACAATATGGGAAGCTATGGGAATCCCGTTATTTGTAATCATGTATTTGTGTGTCCCAGGGCCCCTTCAAAACAGAGCGGCCCAGCGATGGACCGAGCGCTCCGCCGTCGGCGTGGCCAGGCAACCTCCGGGAGCACCACGCGGGACTCGAGAGGCCCAGACCGCCCCGAGGCACGACAGAAGTCACGACGGGAGGTTCTGCTCCATTCTCGGCCTCTTGGGGGCCCCCTCACTGGGCCTCGGGACCGCCAAAAAAGGAATCAGGATGAAAAACGGGTCCCGGGGAATGGGTGGAGACCTTTGGAGGCACGACAGAAGTCACGACTGGAGGTTCTGCTCCATTTTCGGCCTCTGGGGACCCCCTCACCGGGCCCAGGGACCATCAAAAAAGGAATCAGGATGAAAAGCCGGTCCGGGAAAATGGGTGGAGACCTCTGGGGGTCGACGTGATGAAAAAATCGTGACGTCGGGGGTCCGAGGACGGGGGTCAATGCGAACGGGGGTCAGTCAGAGCGCCATTGCTTGCAGGAGCCTGCCGGGCCAGGGTCGCACTGCCCCGGGTTTGGGTGCAGCATGTTGCAGGATTCTGCAATGCCTGACTGACCTGGGTCTGGATTGACCCGGGTAGGAAGATCCCCGACACAACACGGACTGGCAAGTTCATCGGCGGCCACATGCGAACCCTACCCCACCCTCCCAGGATTTCTAACGGAGGGGGTGGGGTTCACTTCGCTCGGGAGTTCCCGAGGGAAGCGAACCCCACCTCCCCCCTTAGAATCCGTGGGGGGTGGGGCAGGGCTCGCACGTGGCCGCCTACTGAATTGTGTTCTGAGAGTCGAAGAAGAAGAAACGGCATGAACACAAACTTTTTGGCGCTCCGACTTGACTTCTTGGATCTGCGCTGGAGCGCCCTGGTGGCGCCTCCGGCGCCGCCCCTGACGCGCGGAGCGCGCCAGAGAGGGGGGTCCAGCTCAGTTCCAAGAAACCTGCGCGCACCGCCCAACATTTTTATGTTTGTGCCATGTTCTGTTTCCTCTATAGAGAGAGAGAGAGAGAGAGAGAGAGAGAGAGAGAGGGAGAGAGAGAGAGAGAGAGAAAAGCGAGCGTGCCCCGTGCGCCAGCCCGATCGGTGCCGAGCCAGATGCAGCTCTGTGGTCGCGCTCCCGCCCCCCGAGAAGCAGGTGTGAGCCAGCGTGGACCCCGAGCAGCGAGCTGTGGCAGTCTCTGCGGTGCGGTCGCTCCGCCTCCCTGGAGTCGAAGGTGTGTACGACGTGTTGCTGGTTTAGTCCTGTGGCGAGTCCCTCCCTCCTCCTCCTCCTCCTCCTCCTCCTCCCTCCCTCCCTCCCTCCCTCCCTCCCTCCCTCCCTCCTCCCTCCCCTCCCTCCCTCCTCCCTCCCTCCCTCCTCCCCCTCCCCTCTCCCCCCCCTCCCCCTCCCCCTCCCCCTCCTGTGTTTGTACTTCTGTTGTCCGCCAAGGGGGGCTCAAGCCGGCCAGGATTTGCCTCGTCAGTTTTTGCCAGAGCCGTGCTTGGAGCTTGTGCGAGTATGCCAGAGGTAGAAAACATCTCTGCGGTGCAGTCTGGGTGATTCAGCCGCTGTGGTGCAATCTAGTTGATGCAACCCGTGTGGTGGAGTCCATATGGTGCAAGGCACAGCGAAGCAGCGCGAAGCGATGCAACGCCATGCGCCGCGACGCAATGTAAGCCAATGCGAAGCAATGCAGTGCAATGTGCAGCCATGCGAATCAAGGCGAATCAGGGCAACGGAATGCAAAGCAAAGCAATGCAACGCAATGCAAAGCAATGCAATGCACAGCAATGCAATTCAACGTAACGCAACGCAACACACTGCGAATAATTTCGAAGCGAGGTGAAGCAATGCAATGCAGCATAATGCACAGCAGTGCAGAGCAAAACAAAGCAATGCAACGTAATGCAACACAACGCAGAGCACTGCAACGCAATGCAACGCAATGCAAAACAATGCAGAACAATGCATAGCAATGCAACGCAATGTAAATCCATGCAACACCATTTGAAGCAAACCACCGTAATCCAACGCAATGCCACGCAATGCAAAGTAATGCGAGGCACTGCAAGGCGATGCGACGCACTACAAAACAATGTAATGCAAATCAAGAAATGCAACACAATGCACAGCAATGCAACTCTTGCGTGCTGTGCCATGCTATGCTTTGTTGTGGTTTACCAGGCGCTGCGACTGGACGAGTGCGAGTGGACCAGTGCAGGTGGCGGCCAATTGCGGGGCGCCATGCTGTGCTATGCCATGGTTGGCTATGCTATGCGAGCGGACGGGTGGGGCGCGAGGAGACGGGTGCAAGTGGCGGCGAAGTACGGCGGCGACGCGCGGCGATGGGCGGCAAGGAGCCGGCCAGACCGGCACTGGGGGCGGCGATGGACGGCGGCGACGGGCCGCGACGGGCGTCAACGAGCCCGGGGGACCAGCACTCGTGCTCAGCTGCCGCAGACGGGGAAGGAGAGAGCCCCTGAGTGCAAGCGCCGTGTGGGGAATCGTGTCGTCGGCGTCGTCGTCGACGTCGTCGGCGGTCGTCGGCGGTCGTCGGCGTCGTCGTCGTCGTCGTCGTCGGCGGCGGCGGCGGCGGCGGTGGCGGCGGCGGCGGCGGCGCGAGTCGTCGGCGGCGGGCGTCGAGCGGTGAGCGGCGGGCGGCGGTGGCGGGCGGCCAGGCTGACGCGCTGGCGGGGCAGCTGGTCGGCCTGGCGGCCGGGCGGGCGACGGCGCCGGCCGACCGCGAGGCGGGCGGGGCGCGCCGCCACGGCAAGGGGGCTCCGCGCGCCCTCGTCGCGCCTCGCCCCAGGCAGGCCCGCGGTCGTGAAGCCCACACCACCTCGAGTTGCGACAAAGATCGCGACGGGAGGATTTTTTTTTTTTTTGTTTTTTGTTTTTGTTTTTATTTGTTGTTGCAAGTCTTTTTTTTTTTTTTTTTTTTTTTTTTTGCAATTTTCAGCCTCCGGGGGCCCTCACCGGGCCGCGGGACCGTCAAGTGACGAATCAGGATGAAAAACCGGTCCCGGGGAATGGGTGGAGACCTTTGGGGGTCGAGGTCATGAACAGAAATCATGACGTCGGGGGTCTGGGAAAAATGAAGTCGGACGGCTTTTGGCTGTTTGCGGCCTGCGGGGGCCCTCGACGGGCCCTGGGGCCGTCCAAAAAAACGGCCGCGGGTGGGCAGCTTCAGGATCACCGTCTTCTCCGGAGCGACTGTCGGCGCTGACCCCCCACTGTGGGCCTCAACGTGCGTTGCTGGCACGAACAGAAGAAGAAACGGCCAGGGGTGGAAAACCTGACTTGGGGAAAGGGTCAGGATTTCTGGGGCGAGGGAAAGAGGAGGAGGAGAAGGAGGAGGAGGAGGAGGAGGTGGCGGAGGCGGAGGAGGCGGAGGAGGCGGGAGGAGGAGGAGGAGGAGACGAGAGGAGGAGGAGGAGGAGGAGGTGGCGGATGCGGAGGAGGCGGAGGAGGCGGAGGAGGAGGAGAAGGAGGAGGAGGAGGAGGAGGAGGAGGAGGAGAAAGAGGAGGGGAGGTGGAGGAGGCGGAGGAGGAGGTTGAGGAGGAGGCTGAGGATGATGATGATGATGATGATGATGATGATGATGATGATGATGATGATGATGATGAGGAGGAGGAGGAGGAGGAGGAGAAGAGGGTTGGGATTTCTGGGGCGGGGGCCGTGCATCAAAACCAAGGCATCGTCTGGGTCACCCTCGGCGGAGGGCGGTGGCAGGCTGGGTCTTGCACCCGGCGCGCCCACAGTCAGGGTACGGGACGGAAAGAAGTCAGAGTGAGGGTGCCGAACGGTCATTCATTGTCCCTAGGTGTGTGGCTGAAGTGCGGATCCCTGGTGAGGATCTTGCTTGTTGTTGTTGTTGTTGTTGTTGTTGTTGTTGTTGTTGGTTATTGTTGGTGTTGTTGTTGCTGTTGCTGTTGTTGCTGTTGTTGTTGTTGCTGTTGTTGTTGTTGTTGTTGTTGTTGTTGAACTCTCATTTCTGAAGAATAAGTATTGTTGATCCCCCGTGTCCGGTGCACATTGTTTTTTTCGATTGAAGTGCCCTTCCCGGGGCTCGCACCCTGTTTTTTATCAGGGAAAATCTTGAGGGTAAAACTGTGTCGTTGGCCCCCGGTTTACAACAACAGCGGCTCCCGTCTGATATTTCCTCACAGTTTATTGAAGAATCGCGCTCTCGCTCGGGACCTCTTGCAATTTACAACCGGATCGCGGCTCCCGCTTGATACTTCCCCATAAGTTATTGAAGAATCGCGCTCTCACTTGGGGCTTCCGCGTTCCTCTCGACACCTGTGCAGTTCTCACTATCCTTCCGCCCCACTCTCCCAGCATCCCGCTTCTTTTCAGGGTTCCACGAAATTTGTTTTTGACACCAGTTCGCAGCTGTACGTCCCCCCTGTGGGGGTATCCACGATATGTCCTTTCAAAGGGGTTGTACGTTGCGCTGTTTTTGGCGCGACCAATGGCGAAACTTATTGTTCACCTGTGTTGGAGTGGCTGGCGCAAGCCATGGCGCAAGCTGAATCGCCACTCGCAGCGCAAATCATCGTCCTCCCTCCTTCCTGCCCCCCCTCCCTTCCTCCGACCCCTTCGTCTTCATTCTCCGCCATTATCTGTTATCCTTCGTTTTCAAGGGCTTCACCAACCACGCGTGGCAGGGAATGAATGTACCCCCCAAAAGGGGGTACGATCGAAAACGAGAGGGCGGGTGTCCAAGATTTGGGATATGCATATTGAATGACACGCGAGCAGATCAGAGCGAACGGTCTTAACATGATTGTTGTTGTTGTCGTCGTCGTTGTCGTCGTCCCCCCCGCGACCCAGCCCGCGACCCACCCGCGACCCACCTCGCGACCCGCCCGCGACCCACCCCGCGACCCAACCGCGACCCACCCGCGACCCACCCCGCGACCCGTTCGCGACTCACCTGCGACCCACCCGCGACCTACCCGCGACCCACCCGCGACCCGGCCCGCGACCCACCCGCGACCCATCGTCGACCCACCCTCCGACCCACTTGCGACCCAACCCGCGACCCACCTACATTGTTAAAACAAACAATCGGCGCGTGCGGCGGGCTCGTTGTATAGCTTGAATAATGTTGCGCCTGCGGCAAGCTTCGAAGCTTTGCAGACTGCCGACGTCTCCGCCGCCCCTCACTCTTATCCGCAACTGCGGGGTGCTACGTATAATTTCGGGCTCAGGAGTGGCTCCTCCTCCTCCTCCTCCTCCTCCTCCTCCTCCTCCTCTTTCTCCTCTTTCTCCTCCTCCTCCTCCTCCCCCTCCTCCTCCTTCTCCTCCTCCTCCTCCTTTTCCTCCTCCTCCTCCTCCTCCTCCTCCTCCTCCTCGTCCTCCGCCTCCTCCTCCTTTTTCTCCTCTCCTCTCCTCCTCCTCCTCCTCCTCCTTCTCCTCGTTCTCCTCCTCCTTCTCGGCGGAAAGCTGGTCCTCAAGTTTCCCTGAGTCCTGGGTGTCCTGCAGATCGACGCGGCCCGAAAAAGGCCGCAGGAATGGGGGGTCCAGGGCCCCGGCCGTCCATCGTCGCGAGGCCGTTTTTTTGTTCGCAGCGTCAGATTTGAGGGCCTCGGGGGTTCCTGAGACCTCGGTCAGGGAATGTTTTCGCGGCCGAGACCTGCCGTTGCCAGTAACGAAATCCCCTCGCTCCCTCCTGGCAGCACGACGACTGCATCGCCCTCGACGGAGCGCGTCAGCAGGCCGTGGCGCCGCCCTCGGCGCAGCCTCGCATGGCGTTCCCAGGAAGGGCCCCTCTTGCGCGGCGCACCCCTCGCCCTTGGCGGAAAGCGGCGGAAGGTCAGGCGGGGTCCGCTTCTCGGTGTCGTTTGACCGATCCCCATCCCCAGCCCCATCCCCGTCGAGACCCCCACCAAATCACCCCCCCAGTTGAGGATACACCCCTCGAAGCCCGAAGAGCACGGCCTGCATCCCCATCCAGGGGGGTAAATCGGCCAGTGGGGCCCAGGCCACGCCGCTGGGGATGGTCGGTTCAACGATACTCAACTTCGACCCGATCGATCCGATCCTGCATCGGCTCTGGTCGGCTCGGTCCGATTCGATTCCGATGTTCCGGCGATCCAGTGCGGCCCGAGGCCTGCATGGCGCTGTCGTGCCTCCAGGTGCAGCCGAATCGGCTCGATCCCGACGCCGTGCCGATGCGGCTGGTACGATGCATGCTCCGATCGGAATCGATGTACAGTCGAGCATATGATTAAGTAGCCTCTCGAAAAGCTGGGCCAGCGTTTCTTCACCAACTTGCCGGACAGCTGGCCCAGTTTCTTGAGCACGTTCGCCCCTTTTAGCGTGGACATCATACATTTGCCCAGGTCTGTTTCAAGAGACTTTTGCGGAGCTGGTCCAGTTTTCTGTTTATACAACACATTTATCTATAGGTGTACTTACCAGTCTCACTAGTATTTTGCTAATATTCGTTCTATCATTGTATTTCATGGTTCTTTTTATTTGTATCGCTTGTGCTAGTATCAGTGCCATCATTACTTGTATTCTGGATATTATAGTGCTGTGCTTACCATCATTATTCGTCTCATTCGCAGTATCTTTGTTCCCAACCCTCCTTGGTTGGGTATTCGTTTTGAATAGAGCAGTGTGGTCGCGTCCCTTCTCCCGCCTCCCGCCTCTTCCTGTCTTGCCCGCGGGGGGCTGCGATCTGTGAAACTGTCGCAATTTTCGAGGCCTGCTGGGGGGCCCAGCACAGTGAGGGCCACGGGCGGATCCAAATTAGACCTCGCCATCCCTGGGGGGCTGCGATCTGTGAAACTGTCGCCATTTTCGAGCCCTGCTGGGGGGCCAGCACAGTGAGGGCCACGGGCGGATTCAAATTAGACCTCGCCATCCCTGGGGGGCTGCGATCTGCGAAACTGTCGCCATTTTCGAGGCCTGCTGGGGGGCCCAGCACAGTGAGGGCCACGCGCGGATTCAAATTAGACCTCGCCATCCCTGGGGGGCTGCGATCTGCGAAACTGTCGCCATTTTCGAGCCTGCTGGGGGGCCCAGCACAGTGAGGGCCACGCGCGGATTCAAATTAGACCTCGCCATCCCTGGGGGGCTGCGATCTGCGAAACTGTCGCCATTTTCGAGGCCTGCTGGGGGGCCCAGCACAGTGAGGGCCACGGCGGATTCAAATTAGACCTCGCCATCCCTGGGGGGCTGCGATCTGCGAAACTGTCGCCATTTTCGAGGCCTGCTGGGGGGCCAGCACAGTGAGGGCCACGCGCGGATTCAAATTAGACCTCGCCATCCCTGGGGGGCTGCGATCTGCGAAACTGTCGCCATTTTCGAGGCCTGCTGGGGGGCCCAGCACAGTGAGGGCCACGCGCGGATTCAAATTAGACCTCGCCATCCCTGGGGGGCTGCGATCTGCGAAACTGTCGCCATTTTCGAGGCCTGCTGGGGGGCCCAGCACAGTGAGGGCCACGCGCGGATTCAAATTAGACCTCGCCATCCCTGGGGGGCTGCGATCTGCGAAACTGTCGCCATTTTCGAGGCCTGCTGGGGGGCCCAGCACAGTGAGGGCCACGCGCGGATTCAAATTAGACCTCGCCATCCCTGGGGGGCTGCGATCTGCGAAACTGTCGCCATTTTCGAGGCCTGCTGGGGGGCCCAGCACAGTGAGGGCCACGCGCAGATTCAAATTAGAC